ATGATGGTGATGGATATTGGTGTCATTATGATGGTGATGGGTATTGATGTCATCATGATGTCATGATGATGGTGATGGATATTGATGTCATAATGATGGTGATGGATATTGGTGTCATGATGATGGTGATGGATATTGATGTCATAATGATGGTGATGGATATTGGTGTCATGATGGTGATGGATATTGGTTTCATGATGATGGTGATGGATATTGATATCATAATGATGTCATAATGATGGTGATGGATATTGATATCATAATGATGTCATGATGATGGTGATGGATTTTGATGTCATAATGATGTCATGATGGATATTGGTGTCATGATGATGGTGATGGATATTGGTGTCATGATGATGGTGATGGATATTGGTGTCATGATGATGGTGATGGGTATTGATGTCATAATGACGGTGATGGGTATTCATGTTATGATGAGATGGTGATGGGTATTGATATCTTAATACATGTTGATAGGTATTGATGTCATCATTTCATCACCAACCAATATACATATTGTGTCTTTGATTTGACAGGATTCTAATGTGTACAAAATTGATGAGAACTTGTATGAAAATGTGACATGCTAGAGAGACACATACGTTTGAAGTACTCTTGTTCCATTGCTTTATCACAAGCCTTTATTTCAATCTTTTGCCAACCTGGAAAAAAAGCCAAGATAATCAAACAGATAAGGCAAAAATGACAATGATCATAATAGTAATGATGATGATGATGACATAATCTTTTATAGTGTCCATGTGGTCCAGCCTTAGGATCAATGTACAGATCGTGCTACAAATTTCACACAGGTTTATAAAATTTTGTTCTTAAGCAGGTCAAATCGGTCTATATGTGAATACTAGACAATGAAAAACATTGCAACGATCTTGATGAAAACTACACAACAAACTATTGAATTTGGTTTTTGCAATATATTAATTTCAACAATTATTGGATGAGGTTTTGATGATATCTGGAATTATGAATGTTGAGGTAAGTGTTATCGATTGGCAGAACCGTAGGCTGAGGCCAAAAATATTTGCCAAGACATTGATATTGAAAAAAAATCAAAACCAAATTCAATAAATGTTGTATTATACATTGTTGAAATAGGTTAACTGATAATACAAAGATAAGTTTAAAATAAACTTCATTTAAAATTTAAAGAAAAACCTACAGGTAACCACCATCCACTGACCTATGCAGTCTCATTTTTGCAGATAACTGGCTATAGATAACTATATCGACTATCGACTGCTGAAAAATCGCTGGTGCATGCTGATAGCTAGAATTATCTGTAGGTTTTCGACCAATGAGAATTCAGATAGTGAGTGCAATGTATGATAACATAAATTATCATGACAAGGGCAATGTAGGATGTACAGCTGTAGGCTGTGGTGGATAAYACAGATAAGGTTTTTTGATAATTTCTGCACAAACAGAATTCAATAATTGTTTAATTGTATAGTTTGTAAACTAAGAATAAAGATTTTGTTCTGCCTTAGAAAAAAGGTAGCGAACATATTTCATTCTTCATTCCGACCTTGAGTGAACATGACTTGCTGTAATATTGTATTATCWGCAGAAAAACCTACAAATAATACATTGATCATGTCAAGTTCACATGATATTAAGGATTTGCTGAAGGTTCTTGGCCAATTAGAAGCGACATAACGAGTAAAAATTATTGTACTGTACATATTAATGATCATAAATATATATTACATGGATACTATCAGTATACTATTATTGTTACAAAGTTTCCATTTTTTTAATTTTAGATGCTTTGAACCAACAAACTCACATTTTTATCATTTGGTTAGAGTGCAATCTGCTAAAGAGCATTGGTTAACATAATTATTCAAGAATTATACCAAGGTTAACATATAGTCTATATATAGACTGAAGTCTTATCCTTTAGTGGGGCATATGTCTCAATATATCAGAGTCAAAGTTATTTTTACATAAACTTAAATTGGTTAAATCATTCGGCAAAGCAGAAATGACATTAGACTTAATCTTCCTTTGATAATAAAAGATGGCTTGCAAAACAGTATTAAGACCATTTTTGAAAAACCTTAAATTAATGAGTTCTTTGCTATGCGCATATTAAAGCTTATCAACATTTGCCATTTTTGCGGTTCAATAGAACCTGATTAATTAGTAATCAGATAGTTTCTCATTCAGTTTGGCTTAATTTGCACTGGACATGTGTTTTCCAAGAGCTAAAATTGCATTCGCCCTACAGGTTCATGCAAATTGATACTGTTTGAAAACATACTCGTGCAAATCAATTCCAAATTGAACAAGAAACTGTGTGACTACTTATAGAAAAAATAATAAAACAGACTAATAACTTATTACATTTTGACTGCACCAGAGGTATGAATACCATCGACTTTCTTTCGTTTTCTCACTGGATTAAAAAATAAGTCACTACCAACTACAGTCTTTCTCAAGACTACACTAACCCAGACGATCACACTTCACAACAAGATTTTTTTTCCAAGGATTATTCAAGCATGGACTTTTCAACATTCCTTCATTCTTTCAAGAACTTTAAAAGCTCCCTTACATTTGCATGGGCATAAAATGCATTATACTCATATGAATAATGTCAGCAAGTTCCATGYAAAATGGAAAATTTCATATGGTTGTGGTCATTTGCTGAATGTATTCACCGCATTCATAATGGAGTTCAAAGTTGATGTGCAACATGTAACATCCAACGTGCAATATGCAACAAAACCTGCTATAACCTTTCTACTTCTTGTCTTATAGTCACAATAAAAAACTGAATATAAGCTTATTGAATCGTAATTCATTGAAGTTTAGTTCAATTTTACRATTCTTTGCCACAACACTGAACAACAATTTATTTACGAGCTCTAAAAACGAAAAAAATGATTTAATATTAAAACCACAAATTGAATTAAAATTTATTCATAAGAAGAAAGCCTGACCAACTCAAACGAAGATATCGAACAACTGCCGTGGTTTAAGGCTAAAATCTTGAAATTTTTTGTCATCCTCGATGCCTACAGCAGGTTCTTAAAACATACCTTGTACTCTAGAGACACCTCTACTTGATTCGTTTAGTTGAAACAGGTGAGTTTTGTTGAAAAAGTGCTTCCTTTTTCTTTTCTTTTTCACTTCTCGAAACTTTAGCACAAAACAAAAGCACGTGACGATTTCGAACGATATCACGTGCGTTGCCATGGCCAYCAATAACGCGGAAATTTTAATTTCTCTGTATTCTTTATAATTCGGAATAATTTAAAATGTTTCGATTGATTTGGCATGGAATCCCAATTACATTTTACCCACCCATCGACTGAAGATAAAAAGTAATAAGAATTGTCTCAGTTTGTGGACATTATAACACAACTTCCTGTTGAATTTTTCTTCCGGTTCGTTGCATGGACTCTGAACTGTCTCATTGGGTTGCCTGTGTACCTGTGGTAGCTTTGCTTTGTGGCCGCTTTTCGCACGAGTGAACATGGTGGGCGAGAAGTACCTGAAATTCTCTGTTTTCTTGTCCCAAACTATCACTTATGATTAATTTGAAAAGATAAGAAAACAATGAAGACTAGACGAGAGAATTTTTGGTATTTTTTGGGGTCAGAAGATAGAGAAAGATGGATTTCTTGAACGAAGACAGCGTGACTCAGGTAAGATGGCCGTTGGCGTCAACGAACTCACTTTAGTTGAAGTCGTTTTGCGTCCTTTGAGATAAAATTGTCAACTATAGTCAAGTATTTATAGGCTTGAGGGTTTGAGGAATAGTATTTTAGTGTCATAGATATGATATTTGTGTAGTTAAACACTCAAAAATTTTGATTTTGGAAATCGGACCTGATTGTTTTAAATTTAAATTGCGAACAAACAAACGGTAGTTTGAGCTTTTTTGAAAACTCAAATTTACTTCATTTTACTTTGATTTAAGCTATCTGATCAGCAAATATGATCCTAATGTATAATTAAGTGCAAAAGTGAATAAAATTTCAGCTTTAAAGTGCTACTCTGACGAAAATCGCTCAAACTTGGATTCAACTGAAACTTCCTAAGAATACTCTTTAAAGGTCCRATAATCACTGTATGAAGTGTTTTATCGATATTCAGAACGAAACCATGATATTTTTACGATTATTTTTTGGAGTCTGTGACTTCATACACTCAACATCAAACATTGCTACATATATTTCCTTGTATATAAAACCTTGATTTATTTTATTCCTATGAAGCTCAAAGGGTGGCTAATGTACTTATTTCACATTACTTGTAACTATAATTTCTATTTTGGAGTGTTTGGGCTATGGAACGCCAAGTGTTTCAAAAATACTTATGCGCCACCTATAAAACTTCTGTTGACATATCTAAGACTTCCTACAACATATATACGAGACATAGGTCTTAAAACAAAAGTTTCGACTAAATATAATACTTGTCTATAAATATATAAGACATCTATCTTAAAATGAAAGTTTCGAGGTCTCAAGATAAAAGTTTCTATCAAATTAATACTTGTCCTGATAAATATACAAGACGTCTGTCATAAAATAAAAGTTCCGATTCAAATAGATACTTCTTGTCAATAGCTTTTCTCGGTATGTAT